CTCTTTGGCGCCCAACAAAGCCCCTGCTCTCTCACTCTTAATCCCTTTCTCATGTCCGCACTAGCTCTTCCAATCAAAGGTGTTCTCTTCCTCTCCCTTCCACTGCCGCCTTTTGTCCTTCTCTGAGGTGCATGGGGGAGGGTAGGAGGGACACGACTTAAGGGACTTGGGGAGTCACATAGAGGAATCAAAAAGTGTTGTCTTATAATGCATACCCACAGAGCCGCTGTCGCTTTAATTATCCTGGCCTTTCCTGAGAGAAAGTATGGGTACGCAGCTGTGCTTTTTTTGCCCACCCTGGCATCTGAATTGCCCTTAGGTTAAGCCTCTCGTAAGGTAAGAAGCCATTTCTGCTCTCAGCTTCGCTTGCAGTGGTCACGTGACCTTAAGCTCCACCAATCAGAGCCCCCTGCTTCGGGTCCTCCACCAAATCAGAACGCCACCAAAGTGGTGGCTTGGGAGGCTGCCATAAGAGGAGCCCTTTGGCCCACGGGTCCTTTCTGCCCAGTGTTGGAAGCAGATGCACGTGGCTTTTGGAGAGGGTAGGAGAGATTCTGGCAGTAGTGATGACTGAGGCCCAGTGCTGGGTCGGGAGGCTCTCCTGAGTCCCAGAGGTGTGGTTGGTGTGGGCTTCATTGTCTGACTGCATGGCCCAAAACAAAATCAGCCAGTTTTCTCAAAGATTTGGGCGGGTGCTGCCTCATCCTCTGTGAATATTTTAATTTTTTTCTGTTAGCTAAAGAGAGTTTTTTGCAGGGAGTCATTTGCAGCCAAGAGTCCTGATGCCGCTTTTTCAGAGGGGAACAGCTGTACCCACCGCGCGCTCGGTTTACGAATCGCTGGCTAAGTTCATACAGCAGGATCAAACCTGGCTAACTGCCGAAGTGGGCTCGCTCTTCCTTGTGTTCTGGTTTCCTAGTCTCATTTGATGCCAGACTCATTCCTCGTGCAGATTGTATATACACCCGGACTTTGGAATTTATTTGGGATTTGGGTTGACTTTTTTTCAATCCTCTTCCAAAATACAGGATAAATTGAGAGATAGCTGCAGGATCTCAAGAACTGGAGATCAAAAGTCACCCCCTTTATTACGTTAGACGCATCGAGAAGGTAGTTTCTGGTCTTGCTGTTCCTTTACCCCGGCATTAAGATAACCTTCCTGGTCATAGGCAGCTGGGCAAGCATAGGCTTCTTCCTAGGTTGGCAGGGAGCAGGCCAGTGCACAGGCCTCGCTGTGGGTACCCTGCCTCCAAGGGGAAGGAGAGCTGGAGGATGGAGCTTACAATGCCTTCCAATCAGTGTAAATCGTTCGCTGGTCTCCTGTAGGCTAGTAGAGAGATACTAACTAGGTTGTTCTTTCACGTGAAAAGGTGAAGCAATCGAGGAATCAATGTTCCCGACCATACACTTAACTTAGTTTCAGTTCTAATAAACAACATCACTTGTGTGAATTCTAACAGGGTGGAGACTCAGGACTTCAGTCCTTACAGGCCTCAAGCAGCTTCCCCAGCTTCTTGCAGACTGGTTTTCTCAGGCTTTACAGGTTCATTGTGTTTGAATAATGCCACCTCCCTACCCTCTCAGTTCCTGAGCGTTATGTGTTAAAATAGTGTGGCCATATAATAAACTATGGCCATCATATTGTGAGGAAAAACAAGGAAGCCCCAAATGCTGGGCAAAGAAACAAAAGATCCCTACTAGAAGAAAAGAAAATGCCTCACTGTGATGGCTGTTTGGGTGTGCAACTTGACTGGGCTAAGGGATGGCCCAGATGCTGGTAAAATGTTTATTTCAGAGTGTGTCTGTGAGTGTTTCGAAAAGAGGTAGCTTTTAAATCCAGTAGGATTGGGAACGAGAAGATCTTTGCTCTGAAACGCCATGTGGGTGGCTTGCATCTAATCCGTTGAGGCTGAATAGAAACAAAAAAGACAGAGGAAGGGTGAATTTGCTCTCTCTTCTTAAGCTGGGACTCCATCTTCTTGCCCTGCAGACATCAGATCTCCTGATCTCAGCCTTTGGATCACTGGGCCTTACACGCCGTTGGCTTTCCCTGGTTCTTTAAGGCCTTTTGCTTTGGAAAATTGGACCTGAACCACCGCTTCCTGAAGCCTCCATCTTGCCCCACACAGCAGATCGTTTAGCCTCTCTGCCTCCATTAGGCAGTTTTTAT